GATAACTAACAACCATAGCAGATACTCTAATAATATACAGATATACATAATGATAACGCCTACTTAAATTATTACCAGCGGTTACAACTACTTATCTTGGGGGGAAAGAATAGCCACTACGAATTTTGTTACCATCTGCCAGATAATCAAACACGAAAAGTAAAAACATAACACATGTTTCTAACTTTCAACCACGTATACAGGTTTGCTTAGAGCATTTGATAACTAATAACAAAGTGGCAGCTACTCGGCTTATATATGGCAATAAAAAAATTTAACGCCTACATAGTTCATGTGAGATCAAACATCTTACCTTGCATTCTTCATCCAGTTCTCTTTCGTGGGCAGGGTTAACACAGTATCATACACTCACAGGGTTTACAATGGGGGTCTCACTAACTTCAGTTTTATCAGCTTGCGATTCGCGATCACCGGAATAAGAGTCACTATCAGAGTCAATAACTATAACAGGCTCGGCGGGGGCGACGACCTCTTTTATCTGAGGAACAGCCGCTATGAATACGAGTTGGATCGCATCCACAAAACCATGTAGGGCGACGCTGGACTAGGCAATAAAGATCTCGTCTTTCTTTTTAATTCCAGTCATAAGCATCTCAAAAGTGACCCTCCCCCACGGATATTTAAGGAATTCATCCAAATCACGTATCTTCTCCACGTCCTCAGTGATAATTCGAGGGAAGTGAGAAGTCGGGAGTAGAACACAAGAAGTGAACACTAAACATGCATACTTCAGTCGCATCTCGTGGCCCTTGACTTTCCTCTTCTCCAGCATCTCGATAGCGGTGTCAACGGCGCAGAACTTGAGAGACCGAAAACGTTCACCCCAATAGAGCTTCTCATTGATGGGATTCTTTTTCCTTTTGAAGTTTTTCTTTGGGATCTTCCTGCCGTTAAGGCATGTGACATGCGCAAACTCGTGCAGAGACATCGTAATCGGCTTCCCTGCGAATAGAAACCAGATCTCATACTTCTTCTTCACTCGAAGAATTTGCACAATGACAAACTGACCAAAAATATCAGAAAATGAAGGGTTCTCCGCCTGTGAAATGATTTTCCCAAACACCGTGTTTCGCAAGAATTCCACCTCTTCTCGCTCTAGTGCGTCTATAATAAACTCGAACCTTTTCGGTTTGTGATAAGTGTTAACTCTCTCTCCAATGGGCTCTTCACCAGCTGCAAACATCCGCTCCGGTAGTTGCATGATTTACATGGTCTCAGTCTCTAAAATCGCAGATAACGGTTTCTCTAAACACATAACTGAATTTATGGACATTGAAAAGGATTTAGTTCTATTTCGAAAAAATGGTAATGAAAACAAATTGTAAAAGGGAACTTTTGACTTGCCTCTCTCTGGATTATTTTTTGCAATATTTTTATATTTTATTATCTTTACTTTACGAGTCCCGATAGCAATAAGATACATATGGCATATAAAACTCTGATCGGTAAATATCTTTTGACATCGTGATCAGTATATTTGATAGGATGGGAGTGTAAAGCTGTAGGCGTATAGTGGTATTAAAAATTGAAATCATAGGATGCTAGTCACTTAATTTCAGCAAAAACGGTGTATATACGTCCTAATTACTCTAAGACAAAACAAAATTAAGGGTATAATCATAACAAAGTGTTGGGTATAATTTGTTATATATTATTGTGAAATGAGATAAAAAAATCTTTACATGCATGTGAAAAAAGATGAAAACTTTTGTGTACTTAAAAAAAATAGATATTCTTGTATTTTATTCCATAAAAGTGATATAAGAGATTGTAGGCAACAGTTAATGAACCAAAAAGAGATACATCTGAGAACAATAATTGTAGAGTGTATGCAAAAATAGGAGAATCAACTTAAAAACTACATCAAAGATTGAAAATTCTCAATGGCACAACTACGAAGAAACGAGCTGCACTTTGGTAAGCCTGACATGATTGACATAGATCGAGTTTTCTAAACCATTTACTTACTACATATAGTATAGTACGATAGTTATACTTGACACGTTAAATACACATCACGTACTAGAAAAGAGTTTCCTATCAACTTTTTCAGTCGAATTAACACATTTTCCAATAATATCCTTACATGATTATATACTTGATTTTCACTCCCTTGTATACATATATACCACAAATTCATCCAAGTTAAATTGAAATAATTTTTGGGACACTAAAATCTATTTTTTCAAAACATCTTCCTTCTAATAAAAACAAATCGGCATCTTCAACATCACTTGGTAACTATTATAGTTATAGTATGAGGAAACATTAACCATCTCAGTCTTGAGATCGACACTTTTCCAAATAGCTTTTAGATAAATACAATTAGAAAACAAATGGTTTTGAGATATAGTCTTGGAACCACAAAAAATATTAGTCAGTTCATGAGAATAGGCATATAGCCACACCTAAAATAAATGTTTTATGTCAAAAATTTTAAAGCTCAATTACAAACCATGAGATATATGTTACATATTAGATAGACGTTTCTAAAATTGACATTGTGATGATTCATATCTGAATGTATCACATTGAATCGCTTTATGAAAATTTATCTTTGACGGCTCTATTTGATCCATGCTGGAGATCTATTGCAAATTTCAAAAAAAAAATCGTGATATTAAATTTTCAATTACGATTTGTGTTCCAAATTTATTTTAAACAGAAATTTCTAAATCCGGTTCGCTGACTGATCAAAGTAACTTTCACTAATGTTTTAAATACCAATTTATGTGATATATCTTATATTTATTTGGTTTGTGAAATGATCAAATACATTTGAATTTATTTTGCTAGATAACTACTTTTTCAGATTCTACCACATTTAGTTAGATTCATGTATGTCCCATTCAATATATTAAAAACTATGTTGGATTTTCCAAATATATATATTTTTTTGTCAATCTCCAAATAGAAATTAATTACATTAAAATTTTATGTTTATGGGATTTATTTGGATTTAGCTATTACATTTTACTAATTCTGATATTACAATATTTTTAAACGAAGAAAATCTTGTTTCCATTTTAATTCTGGATTATTTTTATAACTAATTTCCATTATTCTACGGTACTTGGTTACCTTCATGTATTTCTAGTTATTCTATTAGATTTTATCAAAAATTATAAAAGTATTAGGGAAAGTATATGATACATCTAGTAGAGGATAATCTTAAGGAAATTAAGTATTATGCTAAATTTTATTTTATTTTGTTTTTAATTAGACTACTAGATTTTGACCCGCGCAACCGCGCGGTTGTTTGTTTTCGGTTATAGTTAATTATATAAATATTTTGTTTTCACTTGTAAATTGATATACGTGTTTTAAATAAATAGATTGTTTCAAATTTTCTATTTTATACATGTTTTTCCAACATGTGTTTGTTTCTTGTTCTATATTTTATTGTTTGTTAGATTAGTATTTTATTTTTAGATAAATAAATGAATAGAGCTTGATTAAATATTAGTATACTTTAATTTGCAAAGATAATATAAACTTGGAAGAAATTTTTGCTAAAAACTAAACTTATAACTTCATAAATTAATATTATAAATAATTTTATTAAAAAATAATTTTTTAAACAATTTTTTTAAAAACAATATAATTTTAAAAATTTACATCGGAATAAATTTATCTAGAATATATAGCGTGTAAATTTTGTTAGGATATATAAATATTCCATATTATGAATCTGTGATTTTTGTTAATATATTATATGGAAATAAATTTAGGAATCTTCTATTATTGACATATTTCCTTATAAATAATAGAAGATTCCTAAACTTATATCTATTGACATATTTTGCGTGACTAAGTTGGAATGTATGGGGTAATTTACCAAAACCAAATTCTTAAGCGTATCTTTGTTATTATAAATATGATTTTTCATAAGATATAATGATAATAAGATTATTAGAAAATTAATGTAACATGATTTTCTAGTAACAGTCCACTTTTTAAAAAATCACACATGAAGTCAAGTCATGACTTCTGTTTTAATATATAAGATGTGACTACATTTATATTATTTTATTTTTAATTTTATCATATAGTTAAATCTGGAAAGTATTTCTTATTTTCAAAAAAAAAAACATTCTACATTGTTAAAATATTCATTATGACTTCATTAAAAACAATTTATATACATCTAGTAGAGGATAATCTTTTTTTTTTGTTCAACGTAGAGGATACTCTTAAATTAACATCGTCCACCGATCCACGAGAGTACTTTGGACAGAATATCTGAGCCGTCCACTAAGCTCACTCGTCCGACGTGGCATCTGACTTTAAAAAAAAAAAAAGAAATCAGGTTTAGCGAGTGTTGGTTGGTATTAGTTCTGATTCGAACGGAATAAAAAAAAAAAAAAAAGGAGAGAGCTTTGAGGAGGAAGGCCCCTTTGGATAGCGAGAGAGATAGAGAGAGGTGAGATTACAAAGTCTTCTCCTTTTCGAGCACTGTGAGCTTCTTTTGTTTGATTCGCATGTGGGTTTTCTTCAAGTCTCGTTTACCTTCTCTCTGACTTGTGAATTTGACGTTTTAGATAGTAACCTAGATTTTCTTCGATCTCATCTATGATAGTTGTTGTTTGGATCTAAATCTCTGGGTTTCCTTCGAATTTATGAGAATTTGTGGTTATATTCTTAGTTAGATTTGATATGAATGATTAAGAACTTAGTGGCGTTGAAAATTTGAACACTTTTCTTTTCAACTAGAGCCCAGATGAGTATAAAGATGCTTTTTTCTGTGCACACATTCAGTTTTTTTTTTTTTATGATTTGGAATTCTTATGGTGGTTGATGATGCCTGTTTTCGTTATGTATCTTTTAGCATGACTTTAGATCAGGAACTCGTGTCTATGAATATAATTATCTGCCTTTTTGTGTGGTAGTTCCAAAAAAAAAAAACTTCTAAAGTTGTATTTTGCCACAGCCTTTTTGTGAATCTTTGTATTGGAGATCTGCTGAATACTGAGTTAGCGATGGGGGAAGAAGATACAGAAGTCACTGTGGAGCCAACAACAAATGGGACCAGTTCTCTTCAAAAGCCGTCGGATGAAATCACTGGAAAGCAGGCGGACAAGAATGCTAATAGCAAGGAAACACAGGACAGTAAGACAGCTGAGGGTACTGGACCTGAGAAAATGGAGATAGATGATGACATCAAGCAAGATGAAGAGAAAAATGAGACGGAAGATAAAGTGGCAGAGGTTTCAGAAAAAGAAACGAAAGCTGAGACTGAGAAAACAGAAGAGAAAGATGTTAACGGAGACAAGGAGCCAGCAGAGACTGCTGAAACAAATGAAGATAAGGAACAACCAGAAGCTGATCAAATGGATGAAGACACTGATGGCAAGAAGCTGGAAGCTGATGATGGTGTTTCTGGAGGTGTTACAACGGAAGATACTGTGATGAAGGAAACTGTGGAGTCTGACGACAATAAAGACATAAAAGATGCTGAAAATCAAGTGGTGGACAAGTTAGATATTACTGAAGGAAGCCAAGATAAAACTGAGAAAGAACCAGAGGAGGAGAAACTAGGAGGGGAAGTAAATGGAAACGACGAAGAGAATAAGGAAGAGAAGTTAGTGGGTGGAGACAAGGGGAACAATGTGGATGAGGTTGAAAAGAGGGATACAAGTGACAAAGAAGAGGCACCAAAGGAAAAGATTGAGGGCGTACTGGCTGAAGATGCGAAAGAGGAAAAGACAAACAAAGAAGTGGAAGTTAAGGAAGCGAACAAAGAAGAGGAAGGCACTGAGGTCAATGAGCCGAAAGAGGAAAATGAAAAAACAGAGGCTAACGGCGAGGATGAAAATGATATAGATGACAGCAAGGATGAGAATGAAGATAAAGAGGAGGAGACAATTGACGAGAAGGAAGATGAAAAAGGAGAAAGCATGGATGCGAAAGAAGATGACAAAGAAAAGAGCAATGATGAAAAAGAAGAGAGCAAGAAGTCTACCAAGCGAGGGAAAGGGAAGAATGAGAAGGCTCGCGGAAAGACAAAGAGTGAGCAAGAAAAGAAGAATGTTGAAAATGATATAGATGGCAGCAAGAATGAGGATGAAGATAAAGAGGAGGATACAAAGGACGAGAAGGAAGATGAAAAAGAAGAGAGCATGGATGAGAAAGAAGATGACAAAGAAAAGAGCAAGAAGTCTAGCAAGCGAGGGAAAGGGAAGAATGAGAAGACTCGCGGGAAGTCAAAGAGTGAGGAAGAAAAGAAGGATGTTGAACCTAAGATTCTTTACTCTGATCGCCCTGTACGTGAGCGAAAGTCTGTCGAAAGGCTTGTTGCGGTGATTGATAAAGACTCTTCAAAGGAATTCCAAGTTGAAAAGGTTCGCCAATAGTTTCCTCCTGTGTTTAATCTCTAGAGTTTATTATTTGTTTGAGTTACTTTTGGATATTGCAGGGAAAAGGAACACCTCTCAAAGATATACCCAATGGTATGCTCGTAATCCAAATATTTAAAATTTCCTCAGCCTAATCTGTCATTATTTGAACAGTCCTTTGGGCTTAGTTTTTCTCAGGAACATTTCTAGAGCACATTTTCCTTTCCTATTAATGGATTGCGCTTTGTAATTCTCTTTTCTATCAAACATTTTCTGCAAGCTGTAGTGCTGAGTAGTGTTGATTTCTAATTAGGATTTAAGATGTGTAGGCTTGGTATTTTATAAATTTCTGTTTTCCTTTTTGCAAGAAGTTTTTCTTTTGGGTTTAGTGATTGGAGCTGGTTTGCAAAGAAAGAATGGCCATGATTATGAAGTTGATTGTCATGACTATATATTCAAATTACTTTATTTGTTCCATCTGCTCAATCACTTGAACTGAACTTTATAAAATGTGTATGTCACTGCAGTTGCTTACAAAATAGGAAGGAAGAAGTCTGATGAAGTTTTCAAGGTGCTACACCCAATTCTATTTGGTGGGAGAAAAGGGAAAGTGAGCATCTCTTTGTACCCTTTAATATACTGCCACCCCACTAGACAATGCATGTTCTTGTGGGGATTCTAATGTAGTTTGAAATCCTTAGGAGGTGCATCCATTGTTATCCTCATGATTACTGAGAGTCTGCTACTCATGTTTATACGTGACTCGATTTTCTTGCTTTGACAGGCTGCTCAGATCAAGACAAACATATTACGGTTTTCTGGTTACAAATGGCAAGGAGATGAGGTGTGCGGCATAACACATTAGGATTTTTCTACATGTGCTCGTCTTGTTTTTCCTTGCATAATATTTTTTCTCAAATGATATATGGCAGGAAAAGGCAAAAGATAAAATAAAAGAAAAGCTTGACAAATGCAACAAGGAAAAGCTGCTGGAGTTTTGCGAACTCTTTGACATATCTGTTTCCAAGGCTACAAAGAAAAAGGTTACTATAACATGCTGTTAGGTTTTAAATGTCACTATATTCTTGCTAATGTAATCAATTTGGCATCTGACTTGTAGTTTTCCTCAAATATAGGAAGACATTGTTGCAAAGCTATTTGAGTTCTTGGAAAAACCTCAAGCTGCAACTGATGTTCCTGTTGAGAAAGAGAAGGTAACTTTGCTGATAGAAACGTTTTTTCGCAGTTGAGCTTGAAATGTTTTTGTGCGTATTAACTTTTTTCTGTTCTGTTGTAAAGGGCGCAAAGCGCAAAAGAGCTCCTACGAAAAGTTCACATGCATCTGGAAGTTCATCTTCTAAACGATCAGCAAAGGTATTAATTCAACTGAACGTTTGAGCCCTTGTGTTAAAAATGTGAAGAGAATGTATGTGTCGGTTTAATGTATTTGCAGATATTTTTCATGGCCCATGTGTCCTTCTGTCGGGTTGAGGTACCTAAAATCTGATTAATTTCGTTTGTGTTATTTTCAGAGCCAAAAAAAGACTGACAAAAAGAACTTACCTCGTTCTGATGATGAGTCTGAAGAAGAGAAAGAGGAAGAAGAAGAAGAGAAAGACGAAAAGACTGATGAGGAGGAGAATGAAAATGGGATTCCTGATCAATCGGATGATGAGGCGCCTCAGCCTTCTGAAAGTGAGGAGAAAGCTGAATCTGAGGAGGACTCAGAGGAAGAAACTAAAAAGAAGAAACGTGGTTCTAGGACAGTATCTGGAAAGAAAGAATCGGCAGCAGGGAAATCAAGAAGTAAGAAAGCTGCAGTCTCTACGAAATCCAGTCCACCAAAGAAAGTTACGCAAAAGCGCTCAGCAGGAAAACGAAAGAAGAGTAATGACGACGACAGTGATACAAGTCCAAAGGCATCATCCTCTAAGAGGAAGAAGACTGAAAAACCAGCCAAGGAGCAGTCTCCGGTTCCTTCAAAATCTGCATCAAAAGAGAAACCAGGTTTGGTCATTTCTTGTTTATATAAACTTTCATTAAGAATGAAGCAGATTGATTTGAGTACATGCGTTGTCAGAAGCTTGGGGAACTCTTAATCTTTGATCTCATACTGCAGCCTCCTGTGTGTTCTGACACTATGTTGTATCTGTCTCTGTTACTCTTGTTTATCTGCTAATAGGAAAAAGAGGCGGAAAAGGGAAAGACAAAACCAAGGAGCCTAGTGATGAAGAGTTGAAAAATGCAATTGTTGATATCTTGAAAGAAGTGGACTTCAACACGGTGAGGATTTGAACCATGAAACTACAGTAATTGAGCTTAGAAGATAGATATCTGACAAATGCTTTTATGCTTTATCATTACTTGGCAGGCCACTTTCACCGACATCCTCAATCGACTAGGTATGAGCGCAGATGAGATTGTTTCTTAGCAGTTGTTTTCGTCACTGATGGTCCTGCGTATGGTTTCTATTTTTTTTTTGTGTAACATGCATTGTTTTTCACATATCTTTCAGCTGGGATGTTCAAACTCGATCTCACCTCAAGAAAATCATCGATAAAGCTGATGATCCAAGATGAGCTGACTAAGCTAGCTGATGAAGCCGAGAATGAGGTTGGTGATGAAGAAGATGCTGAGAAAGAAAAAGCTGGTGGAGAGGAGGTTAAGGCTTGATCACAAAGCACATAAATCTAGTCTTAGCTTACTATTTATAACTTAAGGGTCTCTATCCCCATTTGCCTATCGCCAGTCACTAGGCAAATATACCAGAGAATGTAATTTGTTGGTTGTTTTTGGTCGAGACTTGTGCTATAAACAGGGTTTTGCTTATTTGTTTACTTTTGGTAGAGTCAGAGAGAGGAAGAAGCTGATGAGCGGTAGTTTCATAGAATCAACTTGGCTTGTGTATACGATTTAACATAAGCTCTTTCAGGATTTATGCCTCACTTAAAAACCCTTGTGATTTTGGGGTTTTATTTTCATTTTTTAAAGATATTTTATGCAAATTTTCTTGACTTCTCCCATGCTGATTCGTCTATGCAGTTTATTACTTGGCCTGAACTTTTAGGTTTAGGAGCATGAGAAACCAAGCTCGAGTTGAAGAAGAGATTTCACCATGAAGACAATTTGTCCAGGCAAACCTATTCTATCTAATGAATCAAGCAATGTCTGTGAACACCGGAACTAGGTCTTAACTTGGCCAGTGCTAATGAAATAAAAGGATGTTATGCTATTGATGAAGATGTGTTCCGTAGCAACAAAAGCTTAAAAAGATAAAGTATATGGATTAATGGACTTTCTATTATATACACACTTGGACAAGGAGCTATTATATTTCCTCTACAACAGTAAGAAAAAAGATGATCTAGTACATCACTTTTCGGAAATCGCAAAACACACAATCCCCAAAGAATCACATGCTGTTACACATATGTCATGTATCCATGGTGATCCTAAGGCAGATGAAGGGCTTACACATACAGTGAATACATACAATGCAACTCAGATTGCTAAAACATGGAGAAACGAGATCAGTAACACTGGCCAAGCTAACTATTCGACTGCAACTAATACAACTACACCACCACAAATTCAGAAACAATTAAAATTAAGAACATCTAAACACAAATGGACGGACGGCCGACAGGCCATAACATCACCACAATACACTGGTCTGAGAAGTTTCACATAAAACTGGTAAAAGTTGAGGAGTTTTGGAACTTAAATAAGACAAACGCTTGCCAAGTTTCTTTCCACTTCTACATAACTAAGCTGAGTTGAAGAAGAGATTTCACCAGTGAGAGACTTCTTTCTGTGACGAGTCCCAGAGGTCTTTTTTCTTCTTTTTCTTCTTCCAAACGGCTTCAGAATTTTGCAGGAGCTCTCAAAGTCAATCTACTCATAACGCTATAAATTTAAGAAGACAGCAGAAACCTTTAGTCAGAAAAGAAAAGGGGCAAAAGTATACTACACAAAAATGGTTACTGTCAACTCTCGAAAATCATTCTTCTAAGAGCGCATACACTAGTTTTAGACAATGAGACAATAACATGGTCATGTAGACAGCTAACATTTAGTATAAAAACTAACCAGACAGTAATTTTACCCATGTCTGAAAGCAAAACATGAAAAGAATGATACAAATTTACATGAGGAAAGGAAGAAATCATTAGATTCAAACTACTTACTTTTATGCAATAACTATTCAACTGCAAGCCGCCTTCTTTTCCCATAATCAGCATCCCTTGATCTCGAGCGATAATTATCCTCCCGAGACAACCGTGATTTGCTGTGTCCTCTGGATGATCGACCTCTGTTCCACTCATCATCATGCTCAGGTTCGTCCCTGTGTCTATTACGGTGATCATCACCATATCTTTCTCCTTCTCTATGACGGTCCCTCTCCCTGTCCCTTTCTCTATCACGATCCTTGGAGCGTGAACGCTCCTTATTATGACGTTCTCTCTCACGCTCACGACCTGTGTCTCTATCCTCACGATGCCTTCTCTCTGGCATATCATAACCATGACCAACATCTTTCTCCCTCGGTATGTCCCTTTCATAACCAGCATCTCTATCCTCACGATTCCTTCTATTAGATGAACCAGACCATTCCCTTTCTGAAGCTCTCTCTTTCTCCTTCACATGATTCTGACGAGCCCCTCTGTCGTGAGTAACCTCTCCATACTGATGGTCCGATGCAGCTTCGTCCCCGTAACTCGACTCCGCAGCTCTAGCACCACCCAAATCTTCACCACCACCCCATCCTCCACTATTAGGATCCCACATTCCCATATCACCACCAGCATTAGGCATCATTCCCATTCCATTCATTGGCATCCCTCTTCCAAAAAACGCTGGATTCACGTGAGGAGCCACTCCAGGTAATCCAACTCCTCCAACAGGAGGGAACGAGGGCAAAAGCCCAGGAAACGGTGGACCTGGAGCCCCAGGGAATCCTCCATAGCCTCCCATTCTCCCCATGGGTCCACCAAAACCTTGATCAAACCCTTGCCCCATCATTGGATGCATCATATTCATAGGAGGCCCTGTGCCCATTCCCTGACCAAACCCACCTCCACCATTACCCATCAAACCTCTTCCACCCATCCCAGGCCTATTCCTCATCTGACCACCTGGTCCCCTACCACCGATTCCTTGAGCATTGCCTCTACCCCAATTACCTCTACCGAATCCTCTATTTTCCCCACCTTGGAAATTCCCTCCATTGTTGTTGTTGTTGGTGGCAACGACTGGTTTAACCGGAGGATCAGCAGGCCCTTCTCTCTTAGCTTGTGCAAGTAAAGATTGCGCCTGTTGGCTTCTGTTCACCTGTGCCTCCCCCAATCTCTTAACCATATACGGAGGAGCAACCTCAACAAAACAAGGCCTACCATTGAACTCTAAACCATTCATCCCCTCTTTGCAAGCCGTAGCTGACATAGGATCATAGAACTCCACTTGACAATACCCTCTGGACTTCCCATTAGCTTTCTCATCGAAGAACCTAACCTCCTTCACAGTACCATACTTGCACAGCTCCGCCTCAAGTTCAGCATCAGTTGTCCACCAATGCAAATCCCCAACGAAAAGAGTGGAACAGCCACCACCACCACCACCACCACCGTTTCCCACACCAGTAAGAACACCAGGCATATGGATAGTAGCTCCGTTCCCAACCACGTTACTAACAGGTCTAGGAGGAGTCACGCCATTAACATTACCCATCACAGGTCTTATCAAACTCTCGTTATTTCCCATGCTAGGCGGTGGTGGCAGTACACCCTGAGAAAAGTTATTCCCTTTAGGAGCCTCCGCATCATTGGCGTGATTAGGAGCTTTCCCTAGCTCAACTCTAAGCCCGCCTCCACCAGGAATCTGCTCGGTAACATCGCTTACTCTAAGCTCCTGAGCTCCAGAGCCATTAGAAGCAACTACCAAACTAGTACCACTTGCTCCTCCTGCTTCTGAATCTGCTTCTTCTTTGATAGCAACGCTCTCACCAACCAAACCAGGTATCGAAACCTCATCTTCGGTTTTACCTAAACTTGGTTCAATTCTCTCTTCACCCTCTCTTTTGACCTCATCGTTTCTTGATTCCACCTCGTCCTTCTTTCTCACAGAGTGATGAAACCCATCTCCGACGTTAACGTCGTTATAGAGATCATCGTAATCGTCGTCTTCTTCCTCCGCCATAAAACCCTCGTCGGCGACGGCGGAGATCGCCTCGTTTCGATGGAACTGATCTCTCCCATCTCCCTCATCCATCTTACACGAAAATAAAGGTCCTTCCTTTCGATCGTATTCTCGAAGATTAAGGCTCACTCGAACACGAACAGTCTCAAGTGCACAAAGAGATTGCAGAATTTACTTCCCTAGAAGCTAGAAACGGAGGAGAAGGAGCATTCGCTGGAAACCCTAATCTCGGTAGATTTGTGAAATTTCTAGGATTTTCTTATTTTAAAACATTTTTTTTTTCTTTTGGTTTCGAGAATTGTTTAATGGAATCCAACAAATATAGCTAAGCGCATGATAAAGCCTTTATGAATGAATGAAGAGAACACGTGTACTGCGAGAACATTCGCGTGTTTCATGGGCTAAAGTAATACGTTAATTATACCAATGGGCTAGCTTTTTAATGGGCTTGCTTGGAAGACAAACGTAAACTACTTGTCGTACAGCCTTTTCGAAAATCTGATGAACGTCACGTCGTCTGAGCTTTCTAATGGCACGCAGTCCTTAAAAGGATGGAACCAAAACGCTCGTTGAAGAGGGAGAACATAGACAACAATAGGCAGCATATGAACTTTACTCAACAAGCAAGAGGAGGAAGTTCATTAGTCCATAGTGGTGATTCATAGTAACATGACCAGACTAGCAATAAGTTTGAGGTATTTATAAAACGCAAAAAGCATGACTAGTAACACTAACACTAGTATATATTCTTTAGTTACCGTTCGTTTGATTTCATTTACACTATTACGTAAATTACGTTTGATTTTTCTAGCTATATCATTATAAGCTAGTAGTAGTATAAATTAGGAGTAACAGTATTGCCGCAAAAAGCGAAAGTACCAGAAACTAGTGCTCAATTCCAACGACCAACACCATTCATTACATTTATCAACCAAACAAACACGTGAACAAAAACACCCAAACAAAAAAAAAGGTCCACCGACTAAATTAATTTGACACCCAAACATTAAATAAAAATACACACCAATAACAGCGGAAATTAAATAAACACCATTTACTTTCCCTCAAATCCATAAATCAAGATTCTAAAACAACGAACAAAAAACAACAAGTGAACTACAGAAGCGAAGAAGAAGCAAACAGGCAGAGCAAGCTCACAACCAAACCAGCCATAGCTCCTCCAACGATCCTAACCGCACTGGCTTCATCAGCAGTCGCATCGTCCGCATCTCCATCAGGCCCTTCAGCAGGTGAATCCGACTCACCAAACGCATCATCATCAGGCGACGGTGCAGCCTTTTTCTTCTTCCCCTTCCCTTTCCCTTTAGCTGGTTTAGGAGAATCCGCGGCATCTCCGTCCTCTGGTGCCGGAGCAGGGGCCGGAGCTTCAACAGCCGAAGCCTTAAAGAGCTCTTTAGGCAATAAAACCTTATCAGTCGCATAAATAGCCAAAGGCTGCTCGTCGATCAAAGTATCAACGATCTGGACGGTGTTGATCCTTGTCCTGAGGGTAACTTTCTCTCCATCGTTTTGGACAGTGAGCTCGAACTTGTTGGCTCCGTCCGTGGCGAGTGTGTTCATCGGACCATTGTTGGATTTGAGCATGGCCATTGAGTAATACGTAGGGACAGCGAGGAAGTCAAGGAAAGCTTCTTTGTTTGGAGCAGTCAAGTTCTTGTATTTGGGCAAGAATCCTTTCATGGCATCATCTCCTGGACAGAACACTGTCATGCCTCCTTCTACACTCTCCTGTTACAACATTAACACAGTCCAAAAAATCCATTTGAATCTCTCGAGATCTATTTGTCAACTACTTTAATTCATCTATCAAATAATAGTGGTAAGTGAGTTAGTGGGAAACATTATTGCTACTTTTCATATTGAAAAGGTAATATTTTAAATTTGAATTTTAAGAATTTAGAATCGTATAATGTTGCGATAATTTAGGTAATCAAGTCTATATATGGACAAGTAATTGTTTGTTCATATTAGCTACCTAACACTATCAACACCTTTTGACTTTTGTTTCAAAACCAACGGCTATAGGCCACAAACAACAGAACAACCACATGCAACTTCTCTAATTAACTTAGCCACGAAAATTATTACTACTAATTGGGGTATTGTTTCTAATTCGAGTTTACAACTTACTAATTAGGGTTTAATTAGTGTGATTATTGTACCTATGTATTTTTAATTATAGTAATTTCCATATTTACACAGTAACATGCATCTATTTCTTGATTAATTGTTTCTAACTGGAAAACGAAAAACTAATAAACTACTCAATTTACTGTAAATCAGGGTTTTAGCAGTGTAACTACCTGACTCTTTATTTGTAATTAGTTTCTACATTTATACAACGACATGCATCTAATAATTATTTCTTACAGTAAGTCAGTAACTTGATAATTAAATACTTTACACTAATCTGTTTCCAGTCACATGTAGTAATTACTTTACATTAATCAGGGTTTAGTAAGTATACCTGGTAAGTTTTTGAAGCACCAGGGTTAGTAAGAAGCGTCTCGGCGAAAACCTTACATCCATGAGCCGACATTATTCCGGTGAGATTCATCTCAGCCGGAGCCGGACTCGGAGCCGACGCCGTCTCCGACGGCAAGACTTTACTGATCTGTATAATGGAGATGTTGTACGGAACCTCTTCAACGGACTTGACGAAGAAGGAAGACAGATCTCCACCGTCGGGACCGAGACCGACCTTACCGCCTCTCAGATCGGTTATGTTGACGAATCCGGTGGTTCCGGGAGCAGCTCCGGTGGCTTGGAAGAGGGTGGCGGCGAGAGCAGAGCCGTCGCGGATCTGGTGGATTTTCTTGGCGCCGAAGTAGTCGAGGAGGACGTGGAGGGAGAGGATGTTCTTGATGGTGGAGATGGTGTAGCCTTTCGAGGTTAAGGCGGACATGGCGGCGTTGTCGACGGCGCAGACGGTTATGGTGGTTCTACGGTTGATTTCGTCGGCGAGGTGGGTTTGGGTGAGGAAGTGGTTGAAGGAGGAGAGGGAAGGGTGGCTTGCTAAGAGGCGCGTGACGTTGTGCGCGTGTGTTTGGTCGGCGAGGAGGAGGAAGAGGAGGATGGGGAGAATGTAGGAGATGGTTGTTTCTCTCATCTTCTTCGACATTGTTGAGACAGTGGAGAGAGAGAGAATGTGATAAGTTTGAGGTTTTTTCATAGAGAGAGAGTGAGCTCTGAGCTTAAAGAAGATGAAGCTTGTATTTCTTTAAATGGACTTGGCTTGTGGTTGAAATTACAAGTGTGCCACTGGTGTTTATTTAATATTTTGCGTTTGATAATTTATTGCGAATTTAAGCTTATGGGCTTGCAAGCTTGTGATTTGTGAGACCATGTCACACGCTGTGCTTCCAGCCTTTCCACCTACTACTTTTAAAAAATTATTAAATTATTAAACTTTTTAGAGACTATTTTTGTGTGGTTTGGAATGTACATTTAATATTTTATAGAAATCATATAGTATTTGATGGAAAACACTAAAAAAGTTTTGTTTCTATTTTGCTCAAAATAAAGTTTTGTTTCTATTTATTCATTTGAGTTGTTGATTTTAACTGCATAAAGTAATATTTATTTTGGCTAATAGTGTTCATGATATGTTCTCTTTTGTTGAGATCTTTTGAGTTTATCGCAGTTATCATGTGAGTGATGTTGCTTGTAATTGTAGCTCAAAATAGAAAATACCATTTCAGACTAAAACAGACACAAAACAAATAATTATTACTATATATCTAAATTTCTTTTATCAATCATGATATGTTGAAAAATAAATTTCAAACATGTCACGTGGGAGGAGTATCTCTTCTTCATAAATTAAGGTATCGGAAACTCATTACTCTATTATTAATAAATTTTAAGACCATTTCACACGCATAGAATCTTCTTCTTCGTTTAATTTTTCAAATAATTAACTTAAAAATCCTCAGATATCATAGTTCGAGTTGCAATATTCTTTAAATAATATAATATATATATTGTAAAAATAAACATTGTACTTGCTCCTTGAAAAGCTCTGATTAGACGGAATCTGAGTCTTTAACTGGAGGTAGTGTCGGTGACAAAGCTAAAAGATGAAGCGTATAAAGTGAGGAGTGCGTTCTTTCGGGGGCACTTGAGGAATTAACCGATGAGTGAAACAATATATTAATGGAGCCTTACGCCACGTGGATGGTGGAGATCTGTTTTCAAATTCTCTACCGACAATCGGTCGGTCCATGTACAAAGCTGAACATAACTGGGGTAAACTAGCTGTCTGAAAATCTGATGCAACGGTTTGTTGTCGCTTGTCAATTGTGTGATACGATGGTATTATTAGTTTGAGTTAAACTTTTCTGCAATATATGGTAGTAATATTTTCTTTGGATTTATTAGACAACACAAATTTTTTTGGTCGTCAACTGATTTCACTATCATGAAAATTTTACATACTTTTGTGATTAGTTTTATTAGCTTGTTTGGCCAGTTCATCAGCCAAAATATTAGATTCACGCAACTTGTTTATAGAAGAAAATACAACATTTTGTGGCTTTAACTGTATCATGCAAATAGATTACGATGGACATATTTCTATCCATGAGAATATTCTGTAATTCTCCTTTATTATTATAGGCCACATAAAGCATGAAGATCTTTTAAACCAAAAAAAAAAATAAGCATGAAAATCTTCTCAAAGAGTCATTAAAATAACCCAACTTCACATTTCGGAAAGTTAATTTCTACTATTGTATTGGTAGTAGGGCTTCCAACCCTTTGAGTAGCTTTCTTCTATCGTGTCCACACAGGGCCGTGCCTTGCCTGAATAATCTAGACCCCCAAACAGAAAAGAAAGTTTTGGCCCATAAATAATTATTTTAGAAAAAAAGTTTTCAAAATATCCACATAGGGCCGTGTCTGAATAATCTGGCCCCCAGACACAAAAGAAAGTTTTGGCCCATCTCTATAATATTATTTGAGAAGTCACTTTCTTAGGTGTCACGCTCACGTTAACTCTAACGCTGGTTGATTACTATGATACCCCTAATGAATTAAAAATATATTTAAATATTATTATTTCCTTTTTAAAATCTTCCAAATAACAATATAAAATAAAAAGGAAATATTTATAAAATTTACAAAACTATTTAAAACGAAAAATAAGTATATATATAATATGGTTTCATAAAAAAGGAAAGTTTACAAAATAGTAATATTTAACTTAAATATATTTTTATATAACATAAATTATACTTTTAAGTAATAAAATACTTTATATCTATATCTTCTTA